CCTGGGCCCCATCACCAATCTGCGCCATTTCGCAAGCCGGATCGATCTGTGAGGGCCCCAAGGCTCGAACCCGACCCGAACCGCCCTGAATCCCAACTATGCAATCGTGAACAATCACGACCGGAGCCCTGGGCCCCATCTTCATCCGCCAATTCCGATGATCCTCAGAGCATGTGTCAGCGCCAACGTGTGCTTGTCAGCGAAGGCCCTCCAATACGGTGGCGGCGGCGGCAGCGTCGTCGTCGTCGTCGTCGTCGTCGTCGTCGTCGTCGAGGCGCGGCGGCGCGGCCACGACGACGAAGCCAGGCGGCGGCGGCGGTGGAGACGCCGTCGGCGAGCGAGCGCGGAGAGGAGGAGGAGGAGGAGGAGGAGGAGGAGGAGGAGGAGGAGGAGGAGGAGGAGGATGAGGATGATGAGGAGGAGGAGGAGGAGGAGAGAAGAGGAGGAGGAGGAGGAGGACGAGGAGGAGGAGGAGGAGGAGGGAGGAGGAGGAGGAGGGAGGAGGAGGAAGAGCGGAGGAGAGGGAGGAGGGAGGAGGAGGAGAGGGAGAGGAGGAGGAGGAGGGAGGCGGAGGAGGAGGAGGGAGGAGGAGGAGGAGGAGGAGGAGGAGGCGGAGGGAGGAGGAGGAGGAGGAGGAGGAGGAGGAGGAGGAGGAGGAGGAGGTGGAGGAGAGGAGGAGGAGGAGGAGGAGGGGACGAGACGAGGGAGGAGGAGGAGGAGGAGGAGGAGGAGGAGGAGCAGGAGGAGGAGGAGGAGGAAGGAGGAGGAAGGAGGAGGAGGAGGAGGAAAAAGGAGGCGGAGAGGAGGAGGAGGAAGGGAGAGGGAGGAGGGGAGGAGGAGGAGGAGGAGGAGGAGGAGGAGGAGGAGGAGGAAGGAGGAGGAAGGAGGAGGAGGAGGAGGAGGAGGAGGAGGGGAGGAGGAGGAGGAGGAGCAGGGAGGAGGCTCAGCCAATCCCCGCGTGGGGCCTCGGACGGGTCCACGGCCAGCGCGCGCGACAGGAAGCGCGCGTCCTCTGGCGCGGCGGCGCGGCGGCGCGCCGCTGGGCCGCAGCGTCCCGGCGGGGCGGCCCGCGCTCGCTCGGCGTCGGCGTCTGCGCCGCCGCCGCCTGTCGTCGTGGTCCCGCCCGGCCCCCCGCGGCGGAGGAGGAGGCGGAGGAGGAGGAGGAGGGCGACGGAGGAGGAGGAGGAGGAGGAGGAGGAGGAGGAGGAGGAAGAGGACGAAGAAAGCGACGCCAGCGGCGGCGGCGGCGGCGGCGGCGGCGGCGCGGCGGCGGCGGCGACGACGACGACGACGACGACGACGACGACGACGACGACGACGACGACGACGGCAACGGCGATGGCGACGGCGACGACGCCGCCGCTGACGCCGACGCCGACGCCGACGCCGACGCCGACGCCGACGCCGACGCCGACGCCGACGCCGACGCCGACGCCGACGCCGACGCCGACGCCGACGCCGCCGCCGCCGACGCCGCCGCCGACGCCGACGCCGACGCCGCCGACGAGGACGACGGCGACGGCGACGGCGACGGCGATGGCGGCGGCGATGGCGGCGGCGGCGGCTGCGGCGGCGGCGACGACTTCGTCGCCGTCGCCGCTGCCGCTCTGTCGTCATCGTCCCCTGCGATCCTGGCGTCTGTATTTTCAAACCTGGCGGCCATTGTCGGTTTCGGGCCCTCCGCGGGGGGCTTCGCACCGACGGCCCAAGAAGGGCGCGTCGTAGCTGGCGTCCAGCGGGGCGCGGGGGAGCCGGAGAGAGGGCCCTCTGGGGTGGTCTCGCCGACCGTCCAGATGACAAGACCATCTGAGGCATCGGGTCTGCGCAAGACGAGGCCAGGACAGGGACAGCATCGGACGGGGACAAATCGGGGATCTCTGAGATCCAACGGCTCTGGAGGATGCATCGGGCGCCGCGGCAGTTCCGCAGCGCTCCGGAGAGCTCTGAGAGCGTCCTGGAACGCTCGGGAACGGGCCATCCCTGTCCTAGCCCCGCTCGATTGTGCCCCCTCCGTGGAGGCCACCCTGCTCTACGATGCCGTCGGCTGCAGGAGGCGGTAGCATGCATTCATGGGATGCCGCGTCTCTAACCTGAGGAGGCCATCGCCAACACATGCCTGAGCGCTTGGGGCCAAGGGGGGCAGGCCGGTCTAGGCACACGGCTCTGGCCAGAAGCGCCAGAGCCCCAGGCGCACTGCACACTTCCGCCCTGGAGGCCAAACGCATGTTGCACGGTAAAACAGTGCTAAGATCGGGATAAATCGCTCCAGAGCGTTCCGGAGCGCTCTCAGAGCGTTCCGGAACGCTCTGGAGCGGCCGCCGCGCCCAATACATCCTCCAAACCCGCCGATTCTCAGAGATTTCGAGTTATCCCGATCCGATTTTGTCCCGATCTTCGCGTCGCGTTGCACGGCCCAAGCTGAACGCTTTACGTCCACCGAACACGGTAACCTTCGCAGCAAGCGGCATCCGCAGCCTCGGCGGCGCCGACCGCACAGGCAACGTTATGACACTGGGAATGCTAACCCGCCGCTCGGGCCCCCAAAGCCCAAAGAACAACTTCTTCCTCCTCCAACCATGTGAATCACAGTCGCATCCGAAGCAACTAGGACACGAAACTCAAACTGCGTTCGTTGGCGGCGCGCACAGGGGGGGTAGGGGGAGAGGGGGAGGCTTCTGAGAAGGAGGCTGCTTCTCAGAAGGCGCGGGCCTTACATCTACAAACAGGGCCCGCTGCTTCTAAGACGCAGGGGTTCTTCTGAGAGGCCTTCCCCCCTCCACCTGCCCCCCCCCCTTCTGCGCGTGGCCGAGTTCAGACTCGTGCCGAATGCGCTCGAGCCGAAGCCGTGGGATCCCGGGTCACTCCGGGGCAGGCCGGGCGAGCAGCACGAGCAAGCGAGGATGGCAGGCGGGCTCACTCCTCGGCAGTGTTGGGCAATTCTGGGGCAGGACGGCGAGCAAGTCTGGGCAACTCTGAGGCAGGCTGGACGCGGCAAGAGGCAAGGAGCACGCAGGGTGGCTGCGTGCACGGCGGGTGCGCGACGGGACGGGGGAAGGGGAGCGGAGGAGGCAAGAGACACGATGAGGACGACGAAAGAGGAAACTCTACAGCCACAAAAAGCTGCATACACATGTATAGATGCATACATGCATGCATGCATGCATCCATCCATTCATATTCACATGCACACATACACACATACATACACACCCACACATACATACACATACACACATACACAAATACACACATACACCCCTGCGCATACACACACATACATACACATGCATACATGCATACACACATACGTACGTACGAACTACGTACGTACGTACATTCATACATTCATACATACAAACGTACGTACGTACGTACGTACATACAGATATACATAAATACACACATACATACATACATACATACATACACACATGCACACATGCATACACGCACGCACGCACGCACGCATGCATGCATGCATACAGACATACAGACATACAGACAGACAGACATACACACATACATCCATACATACAAACATACATACATACATACACACATACATACATACATACATACAGAGATACATACATGCAAACATGCATACATACATACATACAGACAGACAGACCGACAGACAGACAGACAGACAGACAGACAGACAGACAGACATACACACACCCATACATACATACACACATATATGTATGTATGAATATATATATATATATATATATATATACACATACACCCATATATATATATATATATATATATATGTACATACGTATACCATTTCGCGGTGGTCCGCGCGGATTTCTTGGATCAGCGCCGGACCCCCCCCCATGGCGAGCGCGGGCCGGCGCAGGAGGCGCCGCCAGGGAGGCCCAGCGCCGATCTTGTCACTGCTACTAGGGGTAAATCTTCTGACATGACGATCGCAGTGGAACGAATAGAAGGATGAAAGGCGAGTACCTTTCCCAGTCAGTGCGCGCTCGGCTTGGCCTTGAGCCAAAGCGGTTGCAGTAGCAGCTGGCGCGCGCGTGCCAGACGTAGCTGGCTTGCCAACCGGCGATTGACAATATGTTATTACATTGACTAAAAAAAAGTAGCTGCGGACAGCACAAATGCATGCATCATCGATAAATCGGCGATGGCTTTGGCAATAGAGTCTACAAACAGTTCTGCTTGTGTGACACGCTATTCACATGGCTTGGGTCCTGGAGCCGATCGAAAGGAAGCCCTCCCGACAGGTCTCCGGACGTCTACACCCCGTGAAGGGGTCGAGAGCCCAGGGAACGAAGAAACGACCCAAGCAGGGACGGGGTCGAGAGCTCCCGGGGCGTCGCGCCTCCAGCGCGCGTATGCCGAAACAGTTTATCATAACTATAATACACACCATGCCTCAATATGCTATGCACATGATTCTGCATTGCTAATCTGTTCACTGATCCGGGTGCGACGCGCATGACCACTCAGAAACGTGGGGTTCAACGGATTCACGTGCTCCCCCCATCCGCGGCTCCGGCGGCCGCAGCCGTGGACTGTCTCTGTGAGTCGTCCTGCGCCTTCTGTGCCTTCGCAGCCCGGCGGTCGTTCGCTCCAGGCCGGCATCGTTTCTTGCCGCGCCTGCGTTTCTTGGCTGGCTCCTCCTCGTCGCTCTCCGGGATGGTGGCCGCGACCTGCTGGTCGTCCTTGACCTCTGAGGTCTGCTCCTGGAGAACACCACCCAGAACAGCCCGCAGCGTGTCGTTGTCGAGGAGGTTGGCCTTCACGAACATGGCGTACCAATCCCTCTTGCACTCACCGTACTTGTTGTGCAACTCTGGCAACCTGTCAAAATTGTCCGGCGAATACTTCGCGTACAGCAATTTGAAAATATCCCCCCACAGCGGATCGTCGTTCTCAAGGTTCGGACACATCATGGGGTACTCAATCACTGCTGTCTTGAGAGACATGGTCTGGTCAGGCGGAGGCTTGTCACTCCAAGACTCGATGACCTTCCGGGTGGTCGCAGAGTCGTACACAGAGCGTCTCCCCGTTCCAGTGGCGCCTGCGCTTGGTCCCAACGAAGCAGAGGAAGCGGCATCACGACGTCCATCGGAAGGTTGCCCTCCCGACGGGAGCCTATCGGAAGGTCGCCCTCCCGACTGGCTTCCCGACGCCGAAACCTGTCTCCGCGGATCTGGGCCGTCGCCTGCGATGTCTCCACGGTTCCAAGGTCCAGGAGAGACGGAGGTGCGATGGTGGTCCTGCTTCACCGCGCCCTGCCCTGAGCCTTGGTGCTCAGCCCGTCGCGCTCCTGAGTCTGGCAGTTCGACAGTTCTCTCCGGAAAAACACCGTCCATGGCGTCGAGAAGCACCTGGATGACAGCGTTCGCGGCGAGCTTCGTCAAGCAGTCCGCGATCATGCCAGATGTTGGACAGTGCAGAAACTCTGCTGCTCCACGTTCGTGTTCTTCGCGAAGCCGGTGTCCACGCACGGCAAAATAACGCGTCCTCCAACTGGCGCCGCACATGGCTATGCTCAGAGCAGCCCGGTTGTCTATGAGAACCGTCACTTTGGGGATCTTGGCGCCGAGGTTGGAGAGAAGATGCCTCAGACCCTCCACTATTTGCCACCCCAGCGTCGCACTGTAGAGCTCTGCCTCTGCTGTCGATAGAGTAGAAACCGACTGTCTGGAAGAGCGCCATGCCACGATGCTGCCAGCCCATACCACGACCAATCCACTCTGAGAGCGGGTGTCAGCACCGGCGTACCCGGCATCTGTCCACACTTCCAAGCACTCTTCGTTGCCTGCCCTCGTCAAAAGGATCCCTTTGGACGCAGTGCCCTTCAGGTACCTGAGTATCTTCTGGGCGAGTTCCATACTCCAAAACGAGAATTTTGAGCACGAAGATGCCAATAACGAGGTGTAGTATGATATGTCTGGGCGCGTTCTGGTGGCAAGCCAGTTGTATTCCCCACTATATGCTTGTAGCTGCCGGAGAGCAGGCAAAGCAGGTTCGTCTGGTTCTGCTGGCAGCGGCCCCATTTGGACGCATTTGATGGCATTGCAGTTTTCCATGCCGTACTTCTTCAAAAGACTGTCCACGAAGCGTTCCTAGTGAAGCTTGATATCACCATTGTGCAGAAGAGTGATGTCAATGCCCAAGAAGGTCAGAGGCCTGGTTACCTCCAGCACGGCCTCCTTGGCGAGAGTCCACATCGATTCCATCGCGGCCAGGAGAGCAGATCTTGTAGATCCCATCTCTGTCACCAAGAGTAAATCATCGACGTAAACGACCAATGCACCCAAAACCTGTTTCGAAGTGTCTGTGGCGTCCTTGATGTACCACACTTGCGAATCAGCACTGCACTGTTCAAGGTAACGCGATTTATTGTTCCCAGAAGCCGGGCCTGTCCACCGCAAGTCGCGGAGCTTCTTGTCTCGCCCCTCTGCCCATAGCTTCGGTGACTCGCGCAAACCGTACACAGCCCTGTCCAAGGTCCAATTGATGCCGGCCTCCACGAGTCCCCAGCGCACCCACTGAGCCGGAGGGGCAACTACGACAAGCTTGTCTTTGGGCATGTGCGCGTTGAGGAAGGCGCCCTTGACGTCGTGCTTGCTCACGGTCCAGCCACGCATTACGCCGAGCTTCAGCGCAGCGAGCAACGAGGATGGTTCGGCCTGCGCGGTCCAGGACTGCAGCTTGGGGTCCGGCTCGGCGAAGTTACCGCACACGCAGGCTCGGCATTTGTACTTCTCGTCGCTCTTGGACCACACGCACGTCATCGGCAGCGGCCGCCCTTGCGCGCGGAGCTCGTCAGGGGTCGTCTTGTGGAAAGCCCCCACGCCGAAGAAGTTGCCGGTCAACTCCGCCTCCGCCGCGAGCTTCCAGTTCATCAGCTCAGCCCCGACGCTCTTCGCGACCTCCTGGGTCGGCACGATCCGCTTCTCCGGCTCCTTGTCGATCAGTTGCTGCAGCGCCTCCTTGTGCAGGAGATCGACATGGCCTTCTGCCGCCTGAACAGCAGCTCCGGCGTAGTCGAAGCAGACGGGATAGTAGTGTCCTTGCTGACGTTGCCGTTTGAAGCGTTTTCGTTCCTTCTGCTTGCGCCTCCGTCGCAGCGCAGGCGCCTCAGGGCAAGGTTCGTCCACGTCTGCGTCAGCGTCACCACGTTCATCTTGAAGTGCTCCGGCATTACAATCATGGTCATCGGCGGCTTGACCCGGATGATCAGCGTGATCCACAAGAGACATATCGGGAACAACAGCTCCTCCGTGCACGGCCCACTCGTCATCGAGGTCCAACTCCGTGTCTTCATCGTCGGAAGTGCGGTCCAAAGTGTCCTCTGTGCCAGGGACTTCTGTGTCGCCAACATGCGAGAGGTCTTGTTCAGCTGAACCCCAGGTGGCCGCTTCGGATAGAGCAAGGCATGCATGGGGGTACTCCAAGAAGGCATTCAAGGACGTTGCCCCGTACGTGCGCCGAGTCTCGCCAGAGCTTGCCGCCACCTTCGCGGCGACCGGCGGCGGCCCACCGTGATCCTCTCGAGGATGGTTCGCGGGCTCGTCGTCCGCCTCGTCGGCCGGCGGAGGTCCTTCAGCAGGTACGTCGACTACGGGCCCTTGTGCTGCTGGCGGAGGCGGCGGTGCCTTGAGACACTCCCCCCAAACCAGACTATGGGGTTCCAGTTGCCGCCTCTTGCGGCGAATTGCCACGCAAGCTGGGCAAGTTGCTGTTTCTCGCGTAGCTGCTCCGTCTGGTAAGAACGAAGGAACCACCGCTCCGGCGTCGTACTTCTCTGGCTCCGGAAGAGGCAGTGGAGCGTCAGGCGGATCCCAGTTGCTCATGTTGATCTTGACCCAATTTAGCTCTTCCTCGTTCAAACCCTGGGGCTGCAAGTTGGTCTTGACCTTCACCGCGCCTCGCTGGTACGTCCACATCCCGTTCGGGACAGCGCTGCTGGGGCCGAACACCGTTGCTGGCTCTGCGCGTGGCAGAAAGGCGTTTCTCGGAGGAGGGTCGTGCACCAACATCGCCCTGGTACCGAAAGGTATCCGAGGGTACTCTCCCAGTCCAGCGTCTGCTCTGCACAACTGAGCTGCTGCAAGTGTCGCTACTCCCCACCAGGTGGTCGGAAGTCTGCTGCCGCTCAAGAGGTACCGGGCCCTGCGCTTCAAGATGCCCACGGCCGACTCGGCAGAGGCATTCCCGTTAGGGTCGTAGCCTGCTGTCGATGTTTTGTGGATGCCGTGGTAGGAGCAGAAGTTGCTGAGCTCCTCGTTCATGAACTCGGACCCCTGGTCGCTGTGCAAGCGGAGTGCGATCTCGGTCGGGAAGTTGGCGTGGTCATTGTTGACCTGGGCGAGCAGATGTTGCGCTGCCTTCGCGGCCTCGCTCTTCGCGCCCAGAAGGGCGACGTAGATCAGAGCCGGTCGCGGCGACGTCTGCCCGGCAATTCCGCCCGCCTGCTCCTGGCCTCCGTCTGGCCCAGAAGTCTGCACAGCCACGTCACAAGAAGATGCTGTCTCATCTGGCCTCACTGTTAAGACCAATAAATAATGACACGGATCTTTTGTAATCTGTCCTCCTGGCCGGGGCGTTGGCTCATGAGGGCCACTCAGGTCCACAGTACATACGCCCAGAGACACGTTCGACCGGCGATGGTGCTGTCGACGCCGTAGTGCGGCACCCTGCCATAGAGCACCGTCGGCAGAATACTTCTGATGTTGCCACGGTTTGTCCCGGAGCTCGCCCCCCACCAGGTCTTGCAACTCCCGGCGCTGATGGGAAGGCTGAGGTAGAGGCGGCCCGGCTACGGCCTCCTCGCTGTAAGGGGACTCTCCGGCTCCCGTTCCCACCGTGCCAGTGCACGCCACAGAAGTAGCTGGTATGCCCACAGCCTGCTGCACTGCGGCCCCGAGAGAATCCACCCTCGCAGCCATCGTAGCCAACATGGCTAGCATGTGCGCCTGCATGGGTTCACAACTCTGCGCTGCCGGGTTGACTCGTTCTGAACGCTCGTCGAAAGGAAACCCTCCCGACACGTTGCCTGAGCAAACACGGCTACGGAACCAATCGAAAGGCGCCCCTCCCGACGGATCCTTTTCACATCCCACACCACGTGTCTGAATCGAGCTATGGTGTCTATCGAAAGGAAGCCCTCCCGACGGATCACCACGGCGACTATCGAAAGGTAACCCTCCCGACCGATCACCCGCGTACCCCAACCCATGTGTTTGTATAGTATGTGATAACGGCGATGACTGTGAGCATGATGCAGATGAAGCCACTTGAACCACTGAGCTCTTTCTCAACACTGGATGCTCTTGTAACCAAGGACCCATGATCATATTCCACTGAACACCGAAGTCTTTGTCCACTGCAATCCGGTGTAAGTCACCAAGCACGCACTCGATCCTCGAAGCCTTACTCAAACCAGCCAGTTTTGAAAGAGAAGGTGTGTACCTCCCCCCTTCAGCTGGATCAGGCCCGGCTGGGCAGTTCAAGAGGATTCGCCGGCACTCTTCCTTGGGGTACTGTGCCGCAGATGCAGCGCGACCGGCCCCTCGGAGGTGGAGGCGATCGTGGCCGCCACGGCACTGCGCGCTCAAGTTCGGTAGCTCGTGAGAGCCTTGGAAGTGTGACCTTTTCCGAATGAGCTGCCCTTCGAATTGTCCACCACTAGCGCATTGGTCCAGCAATGCCATGTGAAACGGCATCGTCCGTAGAGGCTCGAGCGGGCTCTTGGTGAAGATGTCGGAATGCGCGCTGTTCTCGATGACGCAACGTCTACCCATCAGTAACTGCTGGAAACAACACACCGCTAAGAACCTCAAGCACGGTGTCTCGGATCGCCTCTTGGTCTCCAGAGTGTCTGCCGGTAGGTTTCTGGTGTGGTTTCCCCGCGGAGCGCAATTCGGCGAAGCGAAAAGAGTCTCCACGCCGGGGGATATGATCGCGTCCACGATGGTCGTCTGGTCGTCCGCCCTCCCTGTGTTCCAACCATATC